AAGAAAAGTTCCTCAGTCAGTATTCTATATTATTTTCAGTCATATTCTATAATATTTTCACTGATTTGTTTTTTAGTAAGGCTGAGGGTTGGTTGTTTTTTTTTTCAGTCATTCCACTTCCATGATGATTCATTCCCTAGAATGCTTACATCTACTGAGTTAGTTCTGTTCCTGGATTTTAGCGCTGCTTGCATGTCCCAGATAACCAGTTAAACGCAATTTTCTTATCTTCCTCCTTATTGCTTTTCCATCTGCTTACAAAGGAATCTTTTTTGTTGATATACGTTACCTGCAACTCTAATATAAATAAATGAGTCTCTCTTGGACTCCTCTAAAAGCATTATGGTCAGATTCTACATAATCCTTAAAGAAAAGCATACACAGAAGGTCTAAGGTAGCAGTTCGACTGTGCAAGTGAACAGTACTCGTTTTCTTTTACAAACAGTAGCAAAAGCTTTCCTTTAAAACCAGTAGCGAAAGCTTCCCTGTAGTGTTCTGCAGTAAAAATAGTCCAGGAGTCCAAGAGCTTCTTTTAAGCTGTTCTGAATGTGTATGAAGCACAATGAGATCGTCAAATACATCTAAAATTTTAATCTCCAGCTGGAGAACTGCTAAAGCAGTTACAAAAGTTTCTGAAACTGATTCAAAACACTCTGAATCACAGCAACATATAAATATACTGCCCTAAACTTAGCATGTTCCATATTATCAGCATGTGATGATGGCCTTGTTTCCTGGCAACTGAAGACATACAACTCTTTCATACACACGTATATACACAGCTTTCTTGCTTTGGGGAAAAAAAGAAATATCCCCTTTTAGTTCATTTAGTGAGCACACTACACAACTTTTAATCAGTGAGTTTCATTTCTTACACTGCTACAACACTTCAATGCAATAATAGATATCTAGTATTGCAAAAATGGATGATCATACCTTTGTGTTCACTTTGTTCTTCTCTGTTCTCTTTGTTTTTCCTATTCAATTTATTTATAAAATGTGGAAAAAGATCTCAGTATGTTTATAAGCGAAATGTAATGGAGATTCTTGGTAAAGCAATCCTAACATCTGAAAGTCATCTTATAGCTAAGATGGATCCTCCAAAATGGAATCACAGTGTCATTTAGTCTTCACCTACCTAATGTCTTATTTTCTTCAATTTTTTTATAACCAACATTGATCTTAGTTACAACAACGTTGTTCCTGAAGTTGATGGAACTGATTTGTTCATGGAAAGATTCTCCAGTGGTACAAATTTGTGTATCTCCTTTCTATGTGAATATTATCATAGTACATCTCGGGTTGAAAGGGACCTTAAACCTCACTTGGTCCTTGTCATGGGCAGGTTTGGCATGCATGAGATCGGATAGCTGCTGAAAATCATGTATCCAAGCTACAAAGCTCAATTCTCTGTTCTTTCATCATCCAAATGCTATTCTTTACTTTAAAACATTTTATTTTTTAATTAATTCATGTATTCAATCATATTTTATAATTTGGGAGAGGTGAATCAACAAAAACTCTATGGCTGTTACAGTAGAGTAAATTCAAATGTCAGAAAGGAAACCAGTCTGAATAGGTGTGGTAAGATTACTGAAGTATCCAACACAGTATCAAAATCCCATCAACATTTCCATCCTCTCTCCTTTACTTCCTCCTTTCACACTTACAAAAAGATATAGTTTAAATAAAAAGGTGTGTTATTGCTACTACGCTTAATGCACATATCAAAATATTCAAAGAGGGGACTGTATTATTCTATGGCCCTGTTTACTTTAATCATGGCTGATCAAATGACAAAGGAAAGAAAAGAGAGCATACAGATGACTTGAATGTAGCTCTATCTGAGAAATTACAGAAATTACATGGAATATTCAGGTAAAATAGATCATATCAAAAATATCAAGGTTGTCAAGGCTGCTCCAGATGTAATCCAATGCTTAGCATAATATGAGTACAGAGAAAATCTTATCTCCCCTTGAATACCCCCACATATATACATCCATGCAGTACATCTGGATATTACTTCAGTAATATGAGATGTCTCTGACTTCAAGAGACAATGCAGTGTCTACTTTTCCCAGCCCACCTCCATTTTGCAGGTTACTGCATCGCTACAGTGATCATACATCACTCAAGAATCCCAGCTGTTAGGAAGTTTCCAACAGACATAACTTGGTTTTACAAGAGTGCTGCAACAGTGAAAGCTAAAGCTGCCCTAATAGCGCATACCAAATAATTCAGTTCTGAGGTGTATCTGTGTATCAGTAAAGCATCAAGATACTACTGTAAACACCCACACAAAGTCCCTCAGTAAAAACATTTATAAACCTACCTCTGTAAACATTTATAAACATAATCAAGAACAAATTTTTGAACAACTACTGAGTTTTTATACAGCCTTTCAAAGAGCCTGTACATTTCTATTTTAATGTCAACAATTAGCTAAAATAACTAGCTAGCACTTGTTATTAAAAATATTTGTGAGCTGCATAATTCTTTATCGTGAGCTAAATTTTGCTGTAAGACAGATCTGAAAATATCCTTCACAACAAGTGAAAGTAGGCTGGTGAACAACACTTGCTTTCACAAAAGACTTTAAAAGAATCCATCTCAGGCCATGGACAGTTTTGTTTTACTACATTGTGATCTCAGTGTTAGCAGTGAAGCTGCTATGGCAATGTAAATGTTCTACTGTTTCAACTAAATTATTCCAGACTCATATGAATGCAACTGGAACAGAACTGAACCTAAGTTGTATTAAATTAATGACATACGGTATGATCAAAATATTGTTGTCTATGCAAAAGCACTTTCAGAAACTATTAGTACTCACTAAGCACACAGAGTCTTTAAAAAGAAAAAAAAAAAAAAAAGGAATAATAATATTCATTTTTCTTTTTGGAATACAAATTAATAAAGAAAAGGGAATTAAATGTTACAAAATTCCTGAAATAGGTTACTCCATAATTACTAAGCATTACCAATAACATTGTTTGGCATATTTAGTATCATGGATTATCTGAGCTGATTTTTACAAGTGTTCTTTTAAACTATCAGAATCCACCAATCCACAGCTGAAGTATTCCTGTAGATTAACATTAATGCATCATGAATCATCACGGTTTAATATGCATTACACTGTTTCATTTCACACATGTTCTGCATGGGTTGATTGCTGTGTATGCCAATACCAAACAGATGTTAATTCTTTAATTTTTATGCTCCCAAAGCATATTTTAATTAACTAGGAGGCCTGACAGAGAAAAAGAGGGAGGTATTTTGAAGTTGATGTGATGAAAAAATATAAAATAAAAATGTGAGAAAAGTAGTTTTTAGATTTCATGCTATCAACAATCTAATTTTTAATATTCAAATGAATACATGATATGCAAAGGAACTGTCAACTGCTCTCATAAAATGGCATATCATTTTCTGTAAACAGTAAAATAATTTTTCAATATTTTCTTAATAAAATTATAATTTTAAAAGCCCTACAAATTAAACTCAAACTTTGTTATATTAAATATTTCTATAAATTAGCTGCAAGGCACTGTATGTTCATACCATATCTAGTTCTTAAAATCAAGTATTCTGCAAAGAAATTGAATCTCCATGTAAATATCATTATACAGACTCCCATACCTTTACAGTTGTATGTCTCATTTTATAGATTATGTCAATTATGAAGTCCTGAATGTAGACTATTTCACAAGCTTCTACTGTACCAGAGGCCAGAAGTGAAAATGAGAAGATACTTCAGGTATAGATATATAATGAGGAAGCTGTTGCCAGCCAGTTGCAGTGCCAGATGCAAGCCAAGGTTCTCCAGAAGAGCAGCAGAGCCACAGATCAGGATGGAAGTGTGTTAAAAACTGTGAGCTTTAACTAACCCCTAATTTGGCCAAGTTGAGTTGTTTGTGTAATTTCCACGGAAGTCAGAGCAGATCTCTAATTTTGATCCTGATCTTACTGAAATCAACGGGAGCAGAAATGGCTCCAGGGAATTTTGTACCAGAATTAGTTTTAGCAAGCTGAAACAGCCTCCAGTATGAAAATTTCCATTATCAAAGCTGTTATGAATAATAACAGTAGTGTTGTTATTGATACATAAATATTTCTGTTACTGGGTACAATTGACATATAAATAATAATAGTAGACAACATAGTATCAAAATCAGAACATTATACCCCTCCCCATACCATGTAGATCATTCTGCACAGCAGCACTTCCCAGACCAAACAAATTATTTAAATTCCTTGTTCACATACTTACACAAGCTGGTATACAGCTTAACTGACATTTTGGAAAAGGAAGAAAAAACCCAACACAAACTGACAGCCATGGCACAATACAGCGAACTTTGTCCTCCAGCATTCCTTCCCCCCCCACGCAAACACATCCTCTTTTTTTCTTCAAATGAACCAAATGCATGCAAGGTATCTGGGAAAAAAAAACAAATTATCCATCATACCCTAATTTCAAGGAAATGAAAAACACATCATTCCCACTGGACTTACTGGGACCAGGAGTAAATCTAAAATGTAAATTTTACGCACAGTTTAAAAAAAAAAAAACAAAACAAAAAAAAACAAAAAAAAAAACACCAAAAAACAACAAACACTTATTCAGATTTCTAAAACATACACTCATCACACTGCAGGGAATCATGCCTGCATTTCTTCCTCAGCCAAAATTCCCTGACTGGAATAACAGATTCAGATGTTATTTCTGTTCTCATTCCATTTCACTATGTTAAATCTCCAGATTTTTTTCCTCTTTACTTAACACATATGTATGAAAGTGCCTCCTTTCCATTCATAGATGTTATCTTCCTCAAACTTCAAATGATTCATGGGTGAATATAGAGTTATAAATAATTTATTGAAATACATAGCAGTGGTTAGGGAAAAAGAAATCCTAAAGGAAGAAAATCACTGCATAAAATCTGAACATTAAAACTGGCTTTTCAAAATCAATCTTTAATTGTTTTTATTACCTCCTAATCCAGGTCTAAGACGATTATCATAACCATCCAGAAGTCTGTCTAGAATTCTTGTAAAGATGGTGATGTTATTCTTAGCTTCATCTTCCAGGGAGTCAGCCAGCACTGATCTAAACGGACATTTTACAATTTAGAAGATGCTAGGTAAGTTTTAATGTACATTCAACATACAGTTTTTAAAGGCTGGCCTTAAATATTTACCTTTTTGAAGGGTGTATTTAAAAATCTATAAATGCATGATATAGGTATAACACATTCAAAAACATAACGATCTATGGCATACCATTTAAAATTTCCAGCTAGTCATTTTTCAGTAGTCTCTAATTTCAGTCAATGCTGTAATGCAAGGAGGACCACTACAAGCTCCACTGACACGTTTGGCTGGCCAGGTACAAAGGCCCGAGATCCCCAGGTCCCCCCGACATGTCACTTCCACACTACTAAGTGATAACCCCATTTCTCACACATAAAACTGTCTCCTTCCAGCTCGGTCCTGTCTTCACTTAAGCGTACCCTATCTTCGGATAAATCCTGTGGATATGCCTCCACCCAATGGTCATGTTAAGTACATGACCAGAGGAACTAACGAGGGAAAACTCCAGCAATCATGCTCAGGGAGTCCTCTGATGTCAGTGCTTGGTGGGTGGGAACAACGATGCTGACTAGCAAGCTGCAGGATAGCTGCAGATAGCCTTCCTGTTTTTAAAATACTGTCTTGATACAGAAAGCTCTACCTGATATTCCACTGGGTGCAGGAAAATCTTATAGAACTTTGATAGAAAAAAAAAAATCAGAAATGAAGCATTAAGAAGAATCTACAAATCACCAATTGGATCAAAATTTCCCAGCAAATAGATATTCTAGCCTTTCTGGACCATGTATTTATGGAAAACACCAGGCGTTCCAGCAGGAACCTGCTGCTCAGCCCAAAGTAGTCCTCCCAGACCTGGGCACGCAAATAAGAGGGTTCAAGTACTAGGGAAACTCTCCACGCAGAAACCCTTAGACATGCAAATTTTAAGTACCTTGGATGTGAAATGCATGAGCTGAGCTCATCTGTCTCACCTACTTAAAACCAGAGTATTAAAATCAAGGAAGCAGGGGATCATACGCTACATGCATAGTGCCACATCTGTACTCTTTGCAGCCATCTACTTGTTTATGCTGAAATTTTGAGTATTTGTTATCTCTAAATAAGCTACTGAATAGGGCATTCTGGGTGAATAATTATGTCATAAAGACAAGCACGTTTTCCTACTCTAAACAAGAAGTAGGTATACGTGATGCTTTCTTTCAAGTAAAGTATAAAATGATTAAAAACATGGCATTATTCTGGTCCCTGATTCAACAGCATGGAGGAAGTATTTAAATGTAAATCATCGCAGTCTGTTTTTCCATTACACAGACCACATAGGTAACCACAGTCAGATAACGTAAAAAACAAATATCAAAATATCAGTAAAACGACTGTTCTGTGAGTTGATTCCTAATTACTGGATAGTTACATTTCTAAATTGCATTTCTGTGTTCTGTGCATCTGCCATTTTTAAGCTTATTTTTGAGAGGTAACTGTTTTTTGAAGTCAGGATGCCATGATAAAACTGGTTCATTCAATTATATCCAATTAGGGTCAGATCCTGCAAACTTTACTCTGGCATAAACTCCTTCATTACGCATGCAGCCTCTCTGACGTCAGTGCGATTACTCACTTGAGTAGGGTTTGCAGGATCTGGCCCACTGTGACTCAACTAATATTGCACCATAGTTAGGCACAAAGTGAAATAGGAAATACAGCTTTAGGAATTCATTTTGTTCTCTAGAAAGTAGGGGAAAAAACCGAATGCAGAGGGAAACTGCATTATTTATGACATGTACCATTCTAGGGCAAGACCTGCTGCAGTGAGAACCAGAGTAAGTAAACCAAAGTTATAAACTACAATCAGCTGTATGTTTAGGGACCGTGGGAAACACAAAACTAATTATTTGATTAAAATTATCTTCTGTTGTGTTGTCACTCTAGAAATGGGAACTTAAAACAAAATTTAAAAGTTGATTATTAAATGAAGGCATTGTTTTATTGTAAGCGATTGTGAAGTTGTATGCTACCTCCACCTAGAGGTGTAAAGCTTAAGTGTCATCTGAAATTCTGTTATTTTGACCAAAAAAAGACACCAAAAAATAGACGTGCCCGAACTAAAAATAATAATAATTAAAAAGAGAAAGAAAAATCGCCATTACTGTAGAGACTACAAGTTGCTATTTGATTTCAGAATCATCTGTTCTCCATCTTAACTGCTCTGCATGGCACAGTACCGCTGTGATAGGGTAACTCCAATAAAGCTTTAAGCTCTTAATTTACAACGAGGCACTTAAAACTCGGTTCTTCCTTGGCACAATGAAATCAAACACAGGTTCACAATCTGCTTCAGGACAAGACGTTAGAGCCCACCTTTTCCCACAGCATTAGCTCTGGAAACTATGTAACATTGCATGCAAACAGCTAAGAGAGGGCTTTTATTACGTTACTCCGCACTCTACTTTTATGCAAGCCTACCCTTAGGAGTCCACAGTGTATATAGCTGCACAGAAAGACACACCGAGCATCCTCACCTTGTGGGCAGCCACGCCAGCAGGGCGAGGAGCACCAGGCGCGTCCCGCGGGGTGCCGGCTGCCTCTTCATCGCCGCGCTCCGCACCACCTACAGCCGCGGAGAGAAACACAGAGCCGCGCTCAGCCGCCGCCGCGCTCCAACTTCACCCTGGAGCGGTGTCACTTCGCGGGGAGCGGAGCGGAGCGGCGGGTCCTGCAGCACTTCGCGCTACGGGCAACTTAGTGCGTCTCCATCTTCCCCGGCGATCGTGCTCTGTGCAAAGAGGCAACGGATGATCAGAAGTGGCATGTGAGCAGACGCATCAGATGCTTTCCTCTTCCGTAAGCTGAAAGCCCCAAGATGAGGGGAGAAAAAATTAAAAAAAAAAAAAAAAAAAAAAAGACCCCCTCCGCCCCCCTCCAAAAAATAAAAAAAAAAAAAAAGAGAGAGAGAGAGAGAGAGAGAGATGCGTGTCTCAGAGCGCGGGGTTTCACCATCGCTAGCCTCAGCGGGGAACACGCCGGGGGGACCGCAGGCCGCTGGGGGCCACGGAGCGTCCGCTAGAGAGCCACTGGGCCCCTCGCTCCCCGTCGCGGGCGGCGACCCCTGGGGACCCTACCTGGGAGCAGGCGGGGAGGGGAGGGGGCAGGCGGAAGGAGGGCGGCGGCGAGCGCCGGGCGGCCGGGACGGAGCGGCGGCTGCGGGAGCGGCGGGAGCGCGCGCGTGCGGGGGGCGGCGGGCAGCGCGCGTGCCGCTGCGCGGGGCGGGAGGGGCGGCGGGCGGGGCGCGTGCCCGTGAGCGCGCGCGGTGGCTGCGCGGGTGCGGAGGGGTTGAGTGGAAACGCGGAGCCGTGGGCGCTGCCCCCGGGGCCGGGGAAGATGCAAGTCACCGCGCTGGGGGCTTCACGCAGAACCCCTCCCCAAAACCGACGGGCAGTGCTCTGAGGGGGAGGGCTGGGGGGGCTTGCGGGCAGAAAGCACCGCCGGAGGAGGACGGGGCCGCACTCCTCTTGCTACGCGGTAGGTAAGGAGCCTCTCCCAGGCCGTGCCATTAATATTCCTTTTTCCGCTTGCCCATTGGCACAGTCATTGAAATGCAGAGAGAAGAAAAGTCTTTCGGTTCCAGCGAGCCGGGGGCGCGGGTGGCCAAGGAAACAATCCCGGCTGCTTTCTAGCTCAGATAGCAGCACTTCTGTTGGATTCTCGTCCACATGACGCCGACCTCGTCTGAGCCCTATGGGCGCACTGCGAGCATCCGTCCCCATTACTGCGGGTTTTCCAGTGCAAATGGATCAGAGCAGTGCTGACACAGAAAAGGGTTTTGTGCAGGCTACCCTTATTTTGCATTAACTTGAAAGCAAGCAGCACCAGTAGTAGTAACACTGTACCTTTTTTGTTTGTTTTAAACCAATCTCTATCTCCCTTCAAACTGTTAATCACGGAACACGCAGCCCTCAGCTCTTCCGTCAGCATCCCAGCCCACCTGTCTGTTGTGCTTTGAGGGTATTTTAATCCAGAATCTGACCTGATCAGCTACAACAATCGGGAGAGTCCTTTTCTTGCTCTCTGCTACTCTCCCTGGATTTCTTGCTTCCTAATTGTTGCACAGACTGCAGCTGAAGATCCCCCTGCTTTCCTTCTCCTCTGGTTGCTTAAGGACTCCACAACAGAGTGTGAAGCAAAAGAGGGAAGGAGAATGCCTGGGCTGTCAGACTGATCTGCTTCTTCCAGTTCTGAGCTTTTTCATAACCTCACTGGAACAAGAGAGGGAACAAGCCAGGTTACTTGTTACTAAATACTATAAAGTGTAAAGTGACAGCCCGGACTGTGGAGAATGACAATGATAAGGACACAAATGCAAAAGTTGCAGTCTGAAGAATGCTCATTCAGCAGCCATCTCACCCTGTGTGTGCCTGAGATACCACGGCCTCAACTTTCCTGATAGAGGAATGCTTTCCTGCTCACAAATGTTCATCAGCTGATCAGCTGAACATCAAGTCAACCCCAAGATTTCCTTGGGTCTGCCTGCAAATCCCCACATATTGGGGAAAAGAACAGCAAAACCTGACTGCAATCCTTCTGCAGAATTAGAAGCTGATGCAAGAGGCAATGTCAGCCCTTGCTGTATCGTTAATTACTTTCCCTCAGATAGAGTGACTTCACAAATGTCAATATGCATAAAAAAACATTATTAGAAGTGAAGGGACTTTCTGATCTATTCCAATTTGAAATACATAATAACAGCAGATTTATTTTTCCATAGGTATACATGGCATTCCTTTTCAAAAATCACTTTAATTAACAATAATACAGAAATTAGATTCTAGTTTTTGTATGTGATATGCACAAAAAAAAAAAAAAAAAAAAAAACCTTTATTGAGGAAAGCAGTGTCTTCTTGTAGCTGCAATAGCATATTATTACTCTTCAAAAGCCACATGGGTTAAGATATGTATTTATAAAGAGGCTGTGCTCGAAACCTTCTTCAGAATCACGTGCTATTGTTTAGACACTAACCACAGTTATTTACAGTGATACTACTTGAGATTTAAACATAGCTTCCTGCATTGAAGTTGCACTCCAGGTAAACTGCATACCTTAAAAGTATCAGCAAATTGGAAACAACTGCTCATTCCTGTTCTCAGACAATTTGGGCAGACCAATGGGGCTTCCCCAATAGCAGTGAAGTTGAGCATAGGTGCAGATAGTTGAGGCAGCAAATATCAGAGGCAACACAATCACTGCCAGAGAGAAAGACCTTTATGACAATCCCACATGCTTATAACCCACAATGCTTATAAACTAGGAAGTATTTGAGAAGAAAAATAGCAGTACCGCTGGGTTTTAGCACTTTGTTGGATTACATGCATGCCCAGCTTGGTTTTCACAACCACCAGGCATGTTAGAACTTACAGGTCAGAAATGGTACACTTGAGCCCCCTCAGGTCCACAGTCAACAGGGGAATTTTCTTTATTGCTTCTTGAGTGGTATTAAAAGCTATCACCTCAATACTGGATTTCAGTTTTTCTGATTCATATGCAGCAACCAGCACATCCCCAGCATTGGTGAGATGCCTCTGAGCCAAAATACAAATAGGGAGGCTCAGAGTAGTACCACTGGCCTAAATAGACCTGAATCAGACCTACTGTCTTCCAGTAGCCTACAAATTCATTGTCAGAGTTCACTTTAAATTTTTAATTATTTGTATACTGTTAATTATTTTACCTAAAATATTCTTTCTACTTTATTTGCTGAAACATAAAACTAGAATTTAATCCCTATCTTGATGTTCAAAAATATCTTAAAATAGCATCTTACAATCTCATTATTCTCTCTCACCAAGGATTTCAAAACTGCATATGCTGATAAACTGTGTTTCACAATACCTCCATGAGGCTGGAAAGACTTCCCCTGTGAGGACAAATTGAATAGCAGGCAGGTATGTGACATTTCATAACCACTTCTTCCAGCTCGGAGCTAGTAGAAGCAGAAGGGAGGTGAAGCCCAGGCTAGTCATTTTCTGGATTGCAAAGTGCTAACTTGAATATTTCCTCACATGTTTTGCTTGAAAGAATCATTTAGATGACACAGTTACTCTATCCTTTGGGCAGAATGAATTTCACAAAAATAGTACCTCACTTTTGTAGCTGTTAGGAAGGTGGCAGTAAACATCTTCTAGTACGGACAAAATCGAGTAATGCCAAGCAGAGCTTAACAGGAGTCTGTTAAGGAGTATACCAGCTCCAGATGAAATTTATAGCAGATTGAGGTAATCATCACATAAGTGTTTTTGTGTTGGTTGAACAAGGATAATCTTCACCCTTAGATCTAGGACAGCAACAGTCTTACCTGTAAGGATAAAACAACAATGCTGGAGATACAATAAAAGTGAGACACATACCTGAAACCTGAAGTGACACATCAAAAATTTTTGTGCGATATAGCAGCCGATTTTTTAGTAAGAAGTATGCTTTATGCAAATGCTTTAATCCCCAAGAAGCAATAATACACATCCATCAATTAGATATCCATAACTGGAAAGATTGTTTTCTACAGCCTTCTTAAATATGTATTTATATAAATTTAAGTAGCAAAGCAATCCTGTATAATTTCAAGTGCTTGACATATGTAACCAATATACGTCTTAGCAATTTAGACATGTTATTTAATTTTATTTATGTGAATGGTGACAAAATATAAAATCAAAATGGGGAATTAGTTTTTGAACAACTCAGTCCATATACATTTGTCCACCACACAGCTACATGGATGCCAATCAAAGCAAAAAAAAGGCTTCCCTTCTTTCCCTTCCTTCCAGGAACAGCTCCACATTACGCCTCATTGAATTGATGTTGGAAAGATTTCTGCAGGAAAAGATGGTCCAGGTATCTGAAACCTCTTCAGTCACTGCCTTTCTGCAAGATAGAGCCACAAACCCTCAGAGAAGATGAAATCATTCAGAAATACATGTTGATATAACAAGCAAGGAAGAAAGCAAGCTCTTACAGCTCTGTATGGTACCCCCTTTCGTACCTGAACAACTTTCAATGTTTAAGGTATTCTTCTTACACGTACCAATACAAGACAGGGAAAAGCTATTGAGCTCATTCTGAAGCCTTAACTATCATACAGACTTCAGCTAGTGAACTGATGGAAGAGCCAAAGGAAATGGTCAGTGTCAGCTGTAGTTCAACTGCCTTAAATTACTTGGAAAAGTGTACTGAGGAGTTTATAAAACCAGGAAATTTTGCTGTGCTTTCCCTAATTCTCATCTTGCATATCAATGCATGTTTTGTTTTTTCCTTTCCAGGACTATATATCCCCTAAATATGTACCTTAAAATCCATATCAGAATTTTCAGTCTTCAAATACACAGAAATGAGCAGAGAGTCTTTGCCATCTATCAGAAGTAAGACCCAATTCATCTATTTAGAGTAGATCTTCCTTGACAGGACAGACATAAAGCATGCAGCAGAGCGCAAGGCAACACATGCACCCACTGGCACTGAAACATTCTGATGTATAAATTGCCTCATAACTCTCAGTCTGAGTGAGTGGATGGGGAGGTCTGTTTCTATAAGGTATTATAGTTTTCTTCAACTACAAATTCCTGCTTTTTTTTTTTACATCTTTGGGGACCTCACATATCACAGCTGGCTGAAAGAAGTGACTTAACACCAAAATGCAAGCTTAACTCGGGGTAGCCAACATAGAATGCAGAAAATGCAAATATATTTTAAATTATTTCCTAAATGTCTTTACATTTGCATTACTTGTATTAGACTACTTTAGTTGTGCTATTTTATTTTTCACTTCTTCACTCAAATGTTCACTGGACTCCAAAGGTGTTTTTCATATAAAATAAAGCAAATTCATGATGTTTCACGTTCCTCGTGTCCATCTTGGGGAAGTAAACTTGTTTATTAATGACACAGAAATACTTAATGTTTTTAAAAACCAGCATGACCATACAGGACTATTTAACACTTCATCTTTCTTAAAAATATTTTGAAGCTCAAAGGAAATACTCTTCTATTGCTACAATTAGATTGATCTACAGAGAATTTTACAGATTGTGATTGATATTTTTTCTAGACATAGAAAGAAAGGGGAGACACCAGATCTCTACCACATTTTGTTGGCACATAACCCCCATGTGGACTTCTCAGACTTCTCAGTCTGGAAATATCAGGAATCATTCTTCTGTGGCTGTTTGTGTTTTGCAAAGG